TAGAACATCGATACAATGATAGGTGTTTTTTTTTTTATTATAGTTGGTGTGCCAATGCAGATTTTAATAAGAGGAGAAGAGTCAGTGAAGAATTTCATTGAAAATCTGAAGAAAGGGGAGACGACCCTGTACCACGCCTCTGGGATGATCATTGGGTGTGCAGGTAGTGGAAAGTCAACACTACTAGAAAGACTGAAGGGCACCGACCTGAAAGAAATCCTGGAGAGTTCAAAGTCAACCAGGGGAATTGATGTCCAGGCTGACATATTTGATGTAACTGGAAAAACAATCAAGGGTATGATTTTTTATTACATCAGATTTAGTACAATTTTTTAGTTGAGCCGAAGTCTCAAGTGAGCTTTTCTGGTCAAAAATTTTCTGTTATCTGTCATTGTTAGTGTTGCCATTAACTTTCTCATTTTTATCTTCTTCTCAAGAATAAGTAAGCCAATTTCAATCAAACTTGGCACATAGTGTACTTGGGTAAAAGGGGTACAAGTTCATTCAAATAAAAGACAATCCCCTTCAAAGGGAAGATAACTGAGAAATGGTGAAAATTTTGTTGATGTATTTAAAAATCTTCTCCTGAACCAGTGGACTGGAAAAGGTCTCGTAAAACTTCTGCCGGATAAAATGTAGATTCAGGATAGTTCAAATCATGGTGGGGACATAATGGGAAATCCAAGTTTTATATAGAAATATAAGAACTATCTCTTAAAATCTTCTTGTCAAGATCGCAAACAATATGATTGGGGGTATTCATATGGAAGCATCCTTAGGTAGTATAGAGTTTGTTCAAATCATGATCCCCAGAGGTAGGATGGGGCTGTAAAAGGAAATCAACATTTTACATAGAGATATATAACTCGATAAAAAATATCTTTAAAATTCTTCATCTAAAAATCAGCAAAGCCATGATTTGAGATACTGTATATAGGGTTATTTCTCCCCGTGTTATTTTCGCATTTTGGCACTTGCAAACAATTTTGCCCCGTTTAAAATTCACCAAATCAATTCCGTTTAAGAAATTATGTTGTGTAATTTATATTCGCACTGTTTTAAATTCCCCCAAAAAGAAAAGGGCGAAAGGGACGAAAATAAAACCGGGGCAAAAATTTCTCTGTATACAGTATTTGCTTGGAAGCACATTAGTGTGGACCAAAAATTGTTGAAAATATAACCGGCAGGATTAATCTTAGAGGAACTAGGGGTATCATTTCGTGAGCACATTGCTCACAGGATCTTTTTTTCCAATTCTTAATTTGGATGACCATTCTTTAAGATTTGAGGTGGATCATGACCTTGTAAATTAGGCCACAGTTTCTAGCTCAAGTATTGGGGGACAATATAATAAGTCAGAGAGAGAGAGAGAAAGAAAGAGAGAGAGAGAAAGCAAAGTCGGTGAGCATCGTGACCTTTCAGCTCGATCAAAAAGCTAGTGTTGTTCAAAGCATATATATGTTTGTAATAAAGAAATAAATAGAATGACTAAATGACTAAAAAAAAGTAAAATATTTTAATTTTACTTTGCAGTAAACTCATCAAACCAAAAGCAACGCTTTAAAGTTAAAATTGACGAATCAAGCCAACAAGAGAGTATTCAGGACAAACCTGCAGAGTTGTCTGGTGACATGAAAGAGTTGAACATTGAAAAGAAAGTCTGTCAGGAGAATACAGGCAGTAGAACAAGCGATCAAGAATCATCAAGTGATGAAGAAATTACACATGAGAGTTTGAAAACAGAATCTGAATCACGTAAAGGCAATGAGGCTGCTGCCTTTGTGGAAAAAGAAGAAATGGTTGAAGACAAGCAAAATATTCCTAAAGAATCAGATTTATCGGGAATTTTACGAGTTTCCAAAGATGTTTCAGGTGATCCAGAGAAAAAAATTACTATGGTAGACTTTGCGGGACAGTGTTCATATTATGCCTCACATCAGATTTTTCTGAGTCCCCGGGCATTCTTCATTCTGGTGCTGAATATGGAGAAGAAGTTTGCCAGTGGAGAGCTACAAATTTTGTCATGTATTCGGCACTCAGGACCATTTAGCAGTGAGGAATCTTTTTCATGCCAGCACCTAGCTGCTGCGAAACAGGACCTCGCGGTTTATATATGACGTTAAGGATCAACTCCTTACTCTTATAATGACTCTAGAGCAGATACTGTTACCACTGAGCCATGTGGTCCATCGACTCATGCCATTAAAAGTCTAGGATTATTTACCCATGTATGACTCTTTATGAATAATGACTGTCATTAAATGTAAACTTTTGAACAAAATAACTTTTTAACAAAATGATCACTACTTGCACCATATAAAATAATTTTTAATTAAAGAAGATTTAAGACTTTTAAAATATACATAATAAATCTTGCAGGGCAATACCTAATATGTATTTTTGACACCAAGTTTTGCTTTTCTAGCAAAGTCTACATGTATTTTAATGTTTGAAGTATATAATTAATTAAGTTTTTTATATGATCAGGAAAAGTTGACTATCACAGCCTAACAAAATTTAAAACTTCAGAACACTACTAACTGCTAACACAATCCTCTGTAGGAGAAATTCAGTATGTTACTTTTTGGAGTGGTCAGAACTATGGCTTACATTACTTTTTGGCTCAACCTGAATGGCTATAATTGACACTTTTTGTCTAAATATCTTAAACCAAAGTTTCTGTGGCTTAAGATGTAATGTGACAGTACATAATACTTGAATTGTCTTTGCAGTTTACCCTAGAAGATATTTATTAAATGGTTTTAAGCATCCTGGTCTGCGGATCAATGTTGTAAAGTGATAGGAATATTTTAATATTTCTTAATTTGAGTTGACCAGTGAAATCCTGTTAATGCCACACTCATACATTTAGAAATCAGTATACAGCATAAGTGGAAATTGTCCTTAAAAATTGGTATTTTATTTTTAGAGAGAGGTAATTTTAGCGATTTTAGCGATTTTAAAGAGCGCAATAAATAAACTATTACAAATAAAGTGCAATTAATTTTTAGCGATATTCAATTTTAGCGATCCTGGCACCCTCGCTAATAATGCCAAAAATAAATCCTCGCTAAATATTCTGCTTATACGGTAATAATTGTTTGTTCACATCATTAAACTTCTTAAGGGGACACAAAAATCCTTTGAAGAGGAGACTACTCTAAAGATAAATATTCCTGCCAAGGAAAGCATAATGAATTTGATGGCACTTATTAGATTACATCACTGCATTCTCTTGTACACAGGAAAGTAGCACCGTTTTCATGATTTTAGTAAATGTTTGAAAAGATTCCCTGGATTTTATGGTTATTTATGCATGATCTTCACCATTAGAAAATGGACTATATAATCTATCCCATTATATTATGAAGAGGGCACTTCAAATCAGTATTTAGGCATGCAAGGCTATACAAACATGCATTGTTGAAGTAATCTTTGATCAATTAAAAACATGCAGTGTCTGTATATTTAAATTGTGCTTCATATGATTGATTTATTGCATAAAATCCTATAATACCCCTTTACCATTCTCTTTTTGGACAATCAGCAAAAAAATCGATCACCCACTTGAGTTTTTCTACTCTCTAATAATGACAAATAAAATAAATGATGTAATTTGAGAACAGTTTTGTTAATCTCATTTCTGAATTACAGGTTTGGTGATAATTTTCATACCACAATTCAGATGGCTCTTTAAAGTGGTGGGTATCAGTTTTCAGGATAAGAATTGTACATCTGGGGTGATGATTAAGATTTAATATCAAGAATATTATTTTCTTGTGTTATGTAAACTTTTGTTCAGATATATACTTTGAATTCCATGTAGGATACCCACCTGAAGATAGTTTATCTGAATTACTCAAATCTGTACATAGCATTTTTCAATTCGATTTATTGCTTAAGACATACATTTTTATGGCATATTACTTGTCACATTATAATTCCTAGTATGCAAAGGGTTCAATTAATAAAGTAAATCTGGTGAAATTTCACATATCCCAGTAACATGTATGTCTTGGGAAACAGCTACCCTGGTAGGTTAAATTACATAGAGAAAGAAAATCTATTACTTGTTCATCTGCCATTTTCCAGAAAAAAATAATTTTGTATTTGACATGGATAGATCTGCAAAAATTAATACAATTTGATAAGTTTTCAAGCCATACTTGCCAATAAAGCCATTTTTTAAAGTATGTAAATTGAATTCTCTCAAGAACTCCTTTGAACTCTTGTAGGTTAGCCAGAGCCAAAAGCAATGCTAGCTAATTATAACTATTGTTATTTATTATAAAGGTACAGATTTGAAAAATATACAGTATATAACATGGGAAAAAGTACATTTACAGTATATTGATATTTCTGTTAGTGTATATGCCAGACCTTGACCTAAATCAGCAAAATATTGATGACTAGTACATTCATAATTTCATATTGCTCTGGTCACTATTGTTAATGTTCAATATTTTGAATAAGAAATGTTTCTTAATTTGAATTTAAATTATGAATTGTTTAATTATCTTCTTGGCAGGTCTCTTGTAAGTCATTCTACCAAAGCAATGCAAGTCCTCTTCCAATCTTCATTTGTTGAGCAGAGAATGTCAGCATCAAGGTTGAAAGGTCACATCTGGAAGAGGTCAAGGTTAAAATCTTAGGATGAGAGGAAGTGTCCACCATAGAAGATTATTTTATCCAAAAAAGGACATACACAGACAGTGCAGGTAAGGCAAGAAAGACTAAACAACTTTTCATAAGGAAATGAATAAGGTTCAAATAATCATGTAATGTGACACCTGCTACCATATCGACTACTGAATATGTGCATTATATAATCTGATTTTTACTGATCAAGAGGAGATATTTATGCTGAAATGTTCTAGATGAGAAGCTGTCCATACATGCCAACTTTCCCGATTTAGGCGGGATTCTCCCGATTTTACCCAGCCATTCCGCTATCACGATTGTGAAAGCAAAATTACCCCTAAATCCCGATTTGACCATTTTTCGACCAAAATTTCCAATTTTCCGACTTGACCCGAGTTTGAGAGAATCGGGATACAATCGTGAAATCTCGTTAACCTCTCGTATTATCAACCAATGAAATTTACGAATTCGCACGCTTAGGTCGCGTGTAATTTACCTATCGAGGATACCTACCTGTGTGTACTGTGACGATTACTCAGTCAATTATGAGCATGTGTCATGTTTTGATAACAATTAATGCTATTCTGGGGTATGGTGGAGATCAATCGGGAATCTCGCATATCGATTCACCGTGGGTGCAACTCCACCACGAAAAAAGAGTAGATCAGCAGCGAAATACCGGGAAAAATGGGAGGCTGACGCAAGATTCACCGGATGGTTGGCGAAGTCAAAACAAGGACAGGCTCATGCATACTGCAGAGTGTGCAACAGAGACTTCAGGGTTGACCATGGTGGACTGAATGACGTGACAAAGCATATGAACACAGCCCTGCACCAAAATACTTTGAAGTCGCAGAATTCGACACCGTCTGCCAGAAACTTCTTCACCAGTTCAAAACTCGACCAAGATGAGGGTAAGTTGACAGATATATTATCTCTGTGATAATGAACAATTTACATGCATTAACTTTGAATTAATTTTATATTTTAAAAAAAATCTAAATTCTTTGTTCAATGTTGTAGATGTGATACGTGCCTAGGTTTTGTTTGCCAATTTTGTGGCACAGCATAACCTCCCGTTTCTTGTCGCAGACTGCTTTACCAAGCTTTGTAAAACGATGTTCCCTGACAGCAGAATTGCATCCAAATTCTCATGCGGGAGGACGAAAACCACCCAGATATTTATTTGAATTATAATAGTAGCTATTTTAGTAACCAGATTTTAACAATGCAATATTGTTTTCATTATGCATCATGTGCCACTGTATTTTTCTTAAATTTGTTATTAAATTGTTTAAACTGTAGAAAAAAAACTACAAGGTACTAGTAATAACTACATGTACATGATGTTCTTTTAGTTTGTAACATTTTATTTGCTTGAATTATAATAGTAGCTATTTTAGTAACCAGATTTTAACAATGCAATATTGTTTTCATGTTTCATGTGCCACTGTATTTTTCTTAAATTTGTTATTAAATTGTTGAAACTATACATTGTTTTGGTTGCTGAATCAGATTCAGACTTATGTTGGTAGGTGCATTGAATGATATGAAAGAAATCAGATGAAAAATGTTCAAATGAGGAACATGTATTATGTATAATAAATAATGATATAGATATCAGTGAAAACACAATTAGATTCAGGTTCACGACAAAATGTCGCGAATTTAAAGCTTTGAAAATTGTCGTCACGCGCAAAATCCCCCATGGGAATTTTCAAAAGTTGGCACATTAAGCTAGACTTACAGGTGCTTAATGTCCAAACTTCATTAAGCTACCATTAAATAAGCCACCATTAAGCTGAGCTTAATGGTGACTTAATGGTCAACCCTCATTAAACTTTTACGCATCTTATATAGAATCTTTGAACTAGCTTTTAGTTATTTTAATATCATTTACGCAAAATCTATTCCATCTCATAATTCTGTCTCGATCATAATTTCAACGAGTTTTTTGTCAACATGCATAAACTTGATCACTGGGAACGAAGTTAGCTAATAGCCACAGGGGCTTGCTAGAGGTGTCTAATTTTTTCTTAAAATCATTAACAGTGATAATAAAACAAGATTTCATGTATCAGAACTGTATATTATTTTTATTTTTTTAAATTAACCATTATTACATGCGTTGTTTTTATTTTTAGTGTACATGATTTTTAAAAATAAATAATTATTACACACCGTGAGAAAGTCCTTGTGAAATATCTTAAATGTACAATACCAAAAATCAATTTGTTTTTAGAATTATCTATATTCTGAACACAAAATATATATTACTTTATCAAAAAGGTCATTTTATTTCATATGTCAAAAGAAACATTCCGCTACAGAATTCACAGGAATATAACTATATGATCTCATGAAAGAATAACCTTTGTCCTTTTTGGGGTGGGGGGGGGGGGCTACTGGTATACAAATGTTTAGTTTTCAAAAATTGACTTTTACCATGAAAACTTTTTAATGGCTTTTACATCATGAATAATTTTAATTAATTCATTATTTTTTTAATAATGCTGCAGTAAGTATCTGTCAAAATCTAGTCGGTCTTCAATGATTGTTATTTCAAGATCGATTTTCAGAGGAACGGCCGATCAGATTAAGCATGACATCCGACCAGATGTATACATATTAAGAAACGGGGTAGGATTAACAGATAATTCGTGTACAGTAAACCGGCTGGTCAGATAATAGACCTTAATTAGGTGTCCCCCGTCCCCGGTTAACTAACAGGAAACTATACATACACAACGTACACTGACAGATTTTAACAATGTTTAATGATCAATTATTTAAAAAAAAATGAAATTTAACACAAGCATATAACAAATAAAAAATTATGATTCATCGTAAAAAGTCAATTATTTTGATACCCATTATGATACAAAAAGAATTGAAACTGAATATGATATTCTAAAAAAAGTTTTTGTAAACGTAATTAACCAGGTAACTCTTACGCGAGAATTGTCACTAAATTGTTGACACAGAAACCGTTAATATCCGCAGTATATTAAAAATAATAGTAGAAACTTTTTTTTTCCTCTTTCTTTTTCGATGATAGACTTTTGTGTTTTATCTATAATTAATTTATCTTCAATCATGATTTAATGCTTACATTTTGAAAATTTTCGAATAACACTAACAGAGCGAAGAACTCATTTACACTACATCAAACTAAAATCAGAACTCTGTGTAGAAATATATATATATTAATGTGTTTAGATCCAAAAATAAAATTGTTTATATTTTGATTTAATAAACCAATTCAAGACATTTGGAAATGTTCAACAAAATTCTAGTAAAAACCTTAACAAGTACAAACAAATTTTGGAAAAAATGAAAGTTAAATATTTAATATTTTCAGCTTTAGTCAGGAGCGGCGATAGCGTAATGGATAAGGCGTTTGACTTCCAATCCAAAGGTCATGAGTTCGCGCCCCCACTGCGGCGATTTTTTTTTTTTTTTTTTTGATTTTGAATTTCATTCTTTTTCATTATTTTTACCAAATCAAGATAAAACGAACTCTACATTTATAATAATGATAACAAATCAGTATAAAAATAAATTTTCACCCATATAAACAAGAAAACCGACTGCGTAATGTGACTTAATGGTGACTTAATGGTGGCTTAATGGTAGCTTAATGGTAGCTTAATGGAGTTTGGACATTAAGCACCTGTAAGTCTACCTTAATGGTGGCTTAATGGTGACTTAATGGTGGTCTAAAAGTAACCATTAAGAACCTGTAAGCCACCATTAAGCTACCATTAAGTTAGAAATTTGGCTTAATGGTGGCTTAATGGTTACTTAATGGAAGCTTTCTGGTGGCTTATAGGTGCTTAATGGTGGCTTAATGGTGGTTTAAAGGCGGCCTTTAAGCCACCATTGAGCACCTATAAGCTACCATTAAGTCAAGCTTAATGGGAGCATTTCATCTTGTGTCAACTATATCCGTATCCCAGTCGCCCTTTCCTCGGTCATTCGTAACAAAAATATTGCATAAACTGAACAACAATAAGCTGGTTATTTCAAAACATAAGATTTGTACAGATGAAAACT